AATGTTGCCAAAGGCTGAAAACTACAACACACCCTGCCTAGCACTAAGCTAGTCTGACAATCTTCACTGTATTTTATACATATGTGCGAGCATAAAATATGCATGATTGTGTATGTGTGTATGTAGCATATATACATTGACACACACAAGTGTATGCTAATTTATTTATATAGAAATATACATATAGAATGCACAATATAAGCACTATATTCCTCTACACTCTTACATAATGTACATATATGAGTGTATAATGCATAAATAGCAGATACATTTCTTCAAAGAAGCTTTATTTGGGACCTTAGCCCAGGATTATGTTTAGACGGTTGAGAATTCAAGCAGGTGATGATTTTTTTTGGCGCCCTTTATTGTTTGGAACAAGCAGTGTCAGGGATATCAGCAAAGCTCCTAGAATAGAGTTTGTTGTATTAGGGCAGCTGCAGTGAGGATTTTTTGGCACATGTCCAATATTAATATTGGTTATTTCTTTGTGTGTTAGTTTTGTAGTGCTGGGATGGGCATAAGGTCCATCCCATCATAAACAAAATACAAAGCAGGACATGCATTCTCCTCCCTTGGTAGAGACTAGATTGGTAAATGATATACACACAAGGGAATACAAGGTCAGCAGCTCAATTAGGGGGAATACAGCTACATTCTTGACTTAAAGTATAGGCTGAGATGTGCATGTGATCATATTAAATTACTGAGGATAAGGACTGGAATATTAGAACAGATAACCATATAAGGATGAGACCATAACAGAGCCTACCATTATTTACAAGTTAGCTTTCATTCCAAAGTATCTCAAAGCACTTTATGATGTATCTGGCTATTGCTACTGTATGTATTGTAGATATCAAAGTGCCCAGTAATTTTTTCCTGATCACTGAGGTACAGCTAGGGATAGAATATGTTAAAGTTAATGCAGTAGTTAATGCCCTCTTTGAGAGAAGGCATTTAGAGCTTAATAGAAAATTATAGCTTTTCTGTAGAATTTTTAGGCCAAGTTGTAGACCAGTGGTTCTCAACCATTGTAGATTCAGGGAACCCCCCCCATAACGTTTCTGAATCGGTATTTCCCTGGTTGAGAACAACTGCTGTACTGGTTCAGCTTGCCTCAGTGGTACTCAGCTAGGGTGATACCTGAACTGCCCTGCATGCAGAGCCAGCCTTAAGGAACATGAGGCACAGTCTGGCAGGGAGGCAGAGCTGCCTGCACGGCCCGTTCTGGCTCCTCTTGAGCAATAGGCTAGGCTGGGCTGGGCACCACTCCTTCTGCCTCTGGCACTGCTCTATGTGTGTGTGTGGTACCCCTTGACCATGGGGCCCTGCACAGTTGCCATTGTTGCCCACCCTTAAGGCTAGCTCTGTCTCCATGCCTTGTGCACAGCCAGATAAACCTAAATCAGATAAGCCAATCCCGCTGTGACCTTTCCCAGTCTGGCAGCCCCTCCCTACCCTTGTGCTCTATGTGTCCTGCATGCTTCTGTTGGCAGAGGAGGTGGGGGTGAGAAATTGGGTACTCCTGCCTTCTATAAATTTATCAGGTAACCCTGATGTAGGCAAGAGCACATGCTTATGCCTCAATCCTTCCCAGTACGGCTGTGCATGAAGTGCAGGGGGTAGTTCCACCTGGCTGTGGCAGCATGTGTGCTACAGCACCCCATAAAGGGTCTCATGCCACCCTGGTCAAGAACTGCTCCTGTAGAGTTTTAAATCAGGAATATGTTTCTCCATTAAGGTCTCTATTTAAAACTATTAAAAGTAAAAATTGTTCTTTCTCTCAGAGTAATTTCTATGGGAGCCTAATGGTTTTATATTTTATAGGGTTTTCCTTAGTGACTACAGTAAAGAATATGAATCTAAGTGTATATTAATAACTACAGCTGAAATTTTATAAATCTCATGGATTTTTTTTCAGAAAAAAATATTAACCCAAGGGTTCTGCATAAAGTGTCCCAAGATTTTAACAATTACAAGTGCCTGGGATCTTGGTTTTAAATCTCTTTAGAAACCCTGGACCACCATTCCTTTAATAATAGTTCCACATCCAATAGTTCAGCATGTCAGAATTTAAAGTTGCCATCTCCCTGCCCACTAGCATCCAGAGCTTTATACTGTATAGCAGTATAACTGTATTAATATTATACAATTGTTATATAATATTTACTCCATTCAGGAATGGTAGGATTATGAGATTTATAAAGCAGTTCAACAAAACTGAGATTTAAGCAAATAAATATTATTAAAGTCCAAAGAACCTTGTCAGCTTTCCTTGCTTTTGGAGGGAGGGGAATGTCCTCTAACTAACAAATTTACAGAAGTTTGCTTTATTTATAAAGTTCAGTAAGCAGCTTTGCTGTTTCATAAGCTAACTAAGCCATCAGGGTAAAATGAAAGGCCGCTACATTTAGTTCTCCCTGTTGTAAAGGAAGTGGAGAAGAGCCAGTGTTCCACCCTATATCTCTTCAATGTAATTTCAGAGGGGATTATTTGCCATTGCACAAGATGAATGGGCTGGTGATTGACATTTTAGAAATAAAAGATGATTTCAATTCATCCAGCTAACTATGGAACCCTGCTTCCAGCACAAGACTAGGGTGGGAGAGGAAAGATTAGCCTTATTTTTGTGCTGCAATAGGAAGACATTGAGGAACAAGTTGTACATATAACACTAAGACAGTTTTCTGCCAGCTGTTCTATAAGTGGACAAACAGGTACATAGACACTTCAAGTAGTTCATCAAATTCCGCATAAACTGCCCAGAGCTGACATTTCTTCTAGCCTCGTCAGTTAGCGGTTGACTTGTTTCCCAGTGAGTCATGAGTTTACATCCCTTCCCATTTTTTATCGCTCAGTGGGTCTGTTGTCAAGACAGAATACAGACAGATATTGGCAAGGGGAATCATGTAACCAGCTGAGGTTCAACCCTTTCTCTCTTCTCTTTCCTTTCATTCATGTAGTGTATGCATGATGTATCAATATTCTCCTGTAAACTTCTCTTTTATGTATATGTGTCTGTATGTTTGCACATACATACTTCTGATGCTCAGTAAGATGTACAAGACAAGCAGTTTCTGCTTTTGGTCATTTCTTAGCAATCTGAATGAAAATGGCATTGTCCCCAATGGAAAATGTTGGGGTTTTGTAATGTCAGCCTGAGGCAAAGGAATTCCCTCCTTTTTCTTGGTGCTGCGTGGTTTGTCCTTCTATTAAGTGTGCATTCTTGATCAGTGCTAAAGTTTATACCTTACTTTGTTTACAGCCTTCTGCTTGGTGGTCTTGGAGAAGCCTTGCTCATCTACACTGAAAGGACAGGCACATAAAAAAAGGGGGAAAAGAAAGCAAGTGTCTCTCTGCGGGAATAAGCCTGAAGTGCAGCTCAGAAATCTTGGAATGAAAAAAACTCAAGGTGCATCAGCAGCTGTGTTGATCTAAGGACATAGGCAGACAAGGTTCTTTGGGTAGATGTAATATTTTTTATTAGACCAAGTAAACAGTTGGAAAAATTTCTCTTTTCAAGCTTTTGGGCACAAGTACCCTTTTTCAGGCAATAGCGAGTGTCTGTACGGGGAGTCTGTATAAATTCTTCCTATTGCCTGAAGAAGAGCATTTGTGCCTGAACGCTTGCAAAGAGAATTTTTTCCAACTGTTTACTTGCTCTAATAAAGCGTATCACATCTACTCAAAGAACCTTGTCTGCCTATGTCCGTAGACCAGCACAGCTACAAACAACAACCCTAAAGCATGATTAAAAACAAGGATCCTTCATTCTTCTTTCTTCAGAGGGAAAATTATGCTATTAATAACACTGGTGAAGGAGCAACATAGTTGGTATGATGATTAAGAATCTGCCTCAAAGCACAAGACAAGAACTATTTATGATGGATGCTGTAATGGAAAAACTGCATTGTGTCTGTAGACTGCTCAGTGTGAGAACCTCTTTCAATAGCACCTTCTCACGCAGGGAACTGAACTCTACTATTCCTCAGAAACAGGAAAAGTCGTTTTCTCTGCTGGACGCCCTAGAGTTTTTGTTCAAGGCGGAGAGGAGGTTACACCAAACAATGAGAAAGTCCAAGCACTGCCATGAATCGAATAGCAGTGGGCATGTATTTTATTTCCACGTGTTCTGTTAAAGGCAAGCTACTACATACAGTTCTCCAGGCATATCATCTGATTGGTAGAGGGCATTAGAGATTGGGGCCTCTGGAGATAACACCCCTCTGGAATTGTTGAAGATTGACAGACAAATCTTTGCTGAATGGGAAATTAAGAAATAAATTTTACCACCTATTGTACTGGCTCTGTACGTGTGATTTTTTTTCCTTCTCTTGGTCCAAAATTTCTCTTTAACTTTGTGAATTTTGGTCAGAGTAGTGTTTTTTCCCTGTATGATTTCCTAACAGCTGGTTGTTTCTAAATTAACACAAGAGGGAGCAGAGATTTTAAATCTTGAAAGAATATCATGAGAAATGGAAAGAAATTAATTCCAAAAAGCCTGTAAATAATTCCATTCCATTAAGCCTGTTAGAATTTATTCCATGTTTATGGATGTAGGATGAACTTTTCCAAAACTTCAGTGGCTCTTCTGCTTCCAAATTGCTGAGATCCAATGGAACATGTACTTCTTTAATTTTAGGTACTTTGGAAATTCCCACCTGTAGTTACTAAAAGAGCATTTCCATGTACAAAGCTTATATTAAAGAACAGATTATACTTACTAATTACAGGCTCACATCAGAAACTTGGAATTGTGGAAAATTGTTAAGAAAAGCAAAAGGACACAAGAAGATCCCTGTGGCCAACAAGTTAATGAAAATAGTAAGGAGGTATTGTGATTCTGAAGCATATCAGGATCAAAAAGAATCCTAACAATGGCATTTGTACATTATGAGATAGACCTGGTAAAATTGTCAGTAATAATGCAGAAAGAGCAAAAGTATTGATTATTTCTTTTCCATATTTGGGGAAAATGCTAGATGAGGTAATCATATCATATGATGACAATTAAATGTTTTCCATCTCAAAAGTTATTACAGAGAATATTATTTAGCAGCAACTAATACTGGACTTCTTTAAGAAAATCCAGAGACCAGCTGATGAGTGTTTGAGGCTGATTTTTTTTTCAGAAAGCCTTGAAACAGTGAAAAGGTTGTGAAGAAAAGCTAATGCTCCAGTATTTTAAAAGGGTAATCAGAATGACCTGGGTAATTCTAGATCCTATCGTCTTAATATTAATCTTGAGCAAAATACTGGAATGGTTTACAGGGACTTGATTAATAATTAAGGGCAGTGGCATAACTAGGGTAGGTGACCAGGGCAACTGCGCTGGGCACTGACTGGGGGGAGGGCGGGGGGGGTTAAAAAAAGCAGCTGCTCTCAGCAGCTGCTCTCAGCAGCTGCATGATTGCAATCACAGTGGCAACAACTGGAAGTCACCACTGCTCCTGTGCCCCAGGTGCCCAGCTGCATTGCTATGCTGCTGCTTAAGGAGAATAATATAACTAATGCTAATTAGAGTGGCTTTGTGGAAAATGGGTCTTATCAAACTAACAATATCTTACTGTGGATGACTTTGCAAGTTTGGCTGATAAATATAATAGTGTTGATTTGACATGCTTAATATTCCTTAAGGCATTTGACTTGGTATTATACACCATTTGATTACGAAACAGAAATAGATACAAAATCAACAAGGCATCAACTAAATGGGTTAAAAACTGACCGGTATGTTTCAAAATGCACCCATAAGAAGGCAAATCACTACATGGGTGTGTGTCTGCTTGTGCAATTATTAATTTTTGGGCCTATGTCATTTAATATTTTTATTAGTGTCTTTTTTTAGAAATTCCTCATGGAGAAAGTCTGCAGAGTTGAAGATTGGGTAGGTAGGACATGTATCTGATGCAGAGCGATCTGTTTGCCATGGTAAGATGGTTTTAAGCAAACACAAATATGAATACAGCCAAATATAAAACCATCCGTCTAAGAAGGTAGGTCACAATACAGGCATGGAGTCTGTTTTGGGAAGCGGTGAAATTCTGACTTGCGGGCATCATCATAAATAATCAGAGGTAATCAGCTGAACCTATTAAGCTCCCAGTGGAAAGCTGTGGCCAAAAGAGCTAATTGGATGCTTGGATCCATACATAGGAGAAGATAGAGTAAGAGTATGGAGATGATTTTACCTTTGTGTTTGGCCTTGCTTTAACTGTTTTTGGAATGCTGTGTCCAGTTCTGGTGTCCACAATTAAAAAAGAATGACGAAAGGGTTCAGGGAAGTGACACAAGAACCATTAGAAGGTTGGAAAACGTGCCTTATAGTGAAAGGCACCAAGATTTCAGTCTATTTAGTTTATCAAAGAGAAGGTAAGGGGTAATTTGGCTGTGGTATATGGCATTTACAGAGGGAACATAAATGGGTTAATAGATAAAGTTATGATTAAATCCAATGGCTGGGGTCTGAAGCCAGACAAATTCAGACTCAAAATAGGATGTATTCCTTGAACAACCAGTGTAAGTAACTTTTGTAAGAACATGTCAAGGATTGTGGTGGATTTTCTATCACCAGGACTGGATGTTTTTTACTAACAGATGTACTGAGGTTCAAACTAGAGTTAATTCAGGGAAGTCCAGTGGCCCATGTTATATAGGGGTGAGACTAAGGTTATCATGATGGTCCTTCCTAGCCTTGTAATCTCTGAATCTAGAGACAATGCTGTGAGGTGCAGACTGCACTGAAAAGGGGCATATCATGCTCTTGCCTCCAACATGGGTCAACTCTGCTAGGCAGTGTTGCAGGCCATAGAACCTAAGCTGTTTCTTCTTCCTGCTCTGTTTGCAATATCAAGGGGTTTATAGGAAATAGTTTCTGCATAAACTACACAAGAGGCATGGCACAAGCACTGCAGCTGTGGCTGGAGCCAGCGGTGTGGGAGAAGCCCCTTATACACATTTCCTTTTGTGCCGTTTTCAAGGGCTAGGGACAGACATTACACATAAACTGGTTTAAGTGATCAGAAGTTGGTTTAAACCTATAACAGAACAAATATTCAGTGCACATAAACCATTTTGAAAATGGCTGAAACCGGTTTGAGATAAACCTGGTTGAATGTAGTACCAGACTTAACTGATTTGGCTCAAACTGGTTTGTGCATTATCTGTCCCAGACCCCTTCCTGATTTAAGTTAAACCAGACTCCTCCAGCATCCCAGCATGCTCTCTGGGCTGGGTGGGGCTCTCTGCTTTCTGCTCCAGAGAGCTGGGCTGGCCCTTCCCCTCTGCTCTCTAGTCAGAGCAGGGGTGGGGCATTGCCAGACACTGGCCTGCCATGGCCCCTGAGGCAAATTCCTCTCTTCCCCCACCCCGCCAGCATACTCTGCAGACCGCAGCGGAGGTTTGCCAGCCCCAGCCACACCTCCACGGCTTGCCTGCAGCCAGGCACGGATGGAGTTAATTCCTCCTTCTGGCTCCTCTCTCCCCACAGGGACCACCAGGGTTTGGCTGCGGCTTGCCTGCAGCCAAGCAGGGAGCAGATTAATGCCTTTGTCTGTCCCTTCTCACCAGAGAGCTACATTTACATTATAAAATAGAACCTGTAAAAGGTGGGAATACCTAAACAAAGCCTTTCTGAATGCCTGGCTGTAAGGAGACACAGGATTATGTAAAACTTATGCAAGGGTTTCTTTTGTCTTCCTGATTTACATTTTAAGTTAGACTAAGTTGTGTATGCTGTGTTTTACTGGGCTGTATCTTGGTTTAGGCAAAGATTTTTGGTCGTTCCCTGTTGTATGCCTTGCAAATTGCTGTGTTCAATACATGCTTGCTTCATATCAAGGACTTTTCCCCCATCCCCACTCCTCAGTCTGGCAGCAGCTTCTCCTCACCCCCAGGCTGGTGCCTGGCATCTCGTGTGGCATGCTAGCCCCAGCTGGTGCCTGGCCCCGCCCCCTCTGTTCCAGCTGGGAGGGGTGAGAGCCTTGGAGGGCGTCTCTCTTCCTTCCCCTTTGGCAGTGGCTGGTAGGCGTGCTCTAGCACCCCCCGGCTTCTGGCTTGAGCCACTGCAGGCAAGTGGTTGCATTTCCTGATTTAACAGAAAATTCCTGTCCAGTTATTAATCAGTTTTAGCTGCACAGCTTAGACTAACCTGCAAAGATTGAATCAATTCAGGCTTGAGATCAAATCAATGTCTGTCCCTAACCAAGGAGCTCAGTAATTTTCCTTACCTGCATTATCCATAACAACCTCATGATTATAGAAATGCAAGAGCGGATCATGTTGATTAACAGAGACTTATCAAGAAACACTAAAAAACGTGTTCCCTTGTTTGGAAATTATAGCAGAAAAGCCAAGGACATAACGAGCATTGACTGATCTGCCTTCTGCTGCCTACATTCCCTATCCACTGAGACACTG